GCACCGGGGCCTCCTATTCAGATGGTTGCAGTTTTGTATTCGCTGCAATCAAACAGCGCAAGGCGGATTTGCACCTGGTCCGTTGGGTGGCGGAATTCCTTTCCCGCCGCCCGCCGAGGGCCCGTATACACGAGACCTTCTCCGCCCCTTTCTCGGCTCACCTGCGGTGCCCCACGGTAGCCAGCTTTTGGCCCACGGCTTTGCACCTTTGCCGCTAACAGCCCCAGTAAGAGAAACTGGTGGGCGCCCCCATCCTCGCGCATCCCTTCTTCGCCGGCGGCCTGGCATTCGGCGCGCGAGCCCAAGGCAGAGGCCCCATCGAGACCAGGCCGTAGCAAGCCTTGGGCTGCATTTTGGATTGGGCAAATAAAACAAAGACGACGTGCAACGCAGTGCGGCGAAGGCGATGCCCATGCTACTCGGCACCCAACGGCACGGCTCGCCCCATGCTGCGCGTGGGCGGTGTCGCCCTAGCGGAGGGCCGCCCACCGCTACTTTTGGGAGTTTTCATCCACCCATTGCGTGGGGGTGGCTGTCCGGCGTGGGGAACTCTCACCGCTGCAACGGCACGGCTGGGGAAGACGCAAGCGATGCCTACGACAAGGTGGAAGCGTAAAAGCGGGACGCTTTGCTTCATGCAAAGGGCCTTCGTTGAGTTCAAACCCCTGTGCGAGGCAGCGGCGCCGTCGAATTTGACGTGGCTAGAAGGGTTCCAAATTTTCACCGCCAGCGCCATTGCAGGCACTTCGGTTGGAATTCGTTTTTTTTTTTTTCGTTAGAGAGGAGGCTTGCCTTTTCTTGCTTGAGGGCGTTTTGCCGATGCGCGGCACCCGATGCTATCTGCGGGCGCGCGCCAATGGAGGGGAGTTGGGGCGCCACGCTCGGGTGCTTTTCCCGCCCACCCGCCCCATACGCTTGGCCCTCCTTCTGGCGGCGGATGGGCGCACGAGCATCAGTGGCTTGACGTTGCCCATGCTGCTGCGTCCCTTAACATTGCCAAGCGTGCGTGCCTTAAGACGCCGCCGGTCCGTAAGCACAGGGCCCGCATGCTGCGGGCGGCGTCCAAATCCAATGCGCACTATACCCTATGATCCGATGGCTCCGTTGAGCGTGGAGCGAAGTCTGGCTGTGCCGTCCTTTCGTTTGGGCGCCAGATACTCGCCCATACGCCGGGGTGGGTGGCAGCTCGCTGGCGCGCGGCCACGGGGCGGAGTGCCTGGCCATGGAAATATGCCTCAACGAGCCCCTGCTGCACCTACCGCCCGCATCCAGCAGGCCGGCGACGGCTGTATATGGACCCGCTGCCACCCCTCAGTGCATTTTAAACGGGGCCCGAACAGAGTGACGGATGGCGTGCTTTGCCGCATGGGGAGCTCCACTATTAGTTTGGCTTGCTGATGTGCTCAATAGCCCGTTAGTTTTTTTTTTTGACGCACTGGTGTCCCCCACAGCGAGGTTGGGTGAGGAGTTTGCGAAAGAAGTGCTGGGGACGTGTCGGGGTGTGCCGGGAGGAGGTCTCGGGTGCCATCGCCTCCGTTAGACGCTAAACAGCGCAATGTGTGGAGGAAGAAGAGCCCACTCACTATCCGACCCAGCGCCAGCGTTTCGCCTGAGGGTTAGGAAACTCCAAAAACGGTTCCGCAGCGGCTTGCGGAAAAAACGATTATGGCGCAACGTTCCGGAGGCACATCGCGTCACTTCGGTTGGCTGCGGCTTTTCCTAGCGGCAGGCGAACCCGCGATGTCGGTAGTTTCTGCCACCGCTCACTCCAACGTAAGGGGCCAGCGTCCCCGGAGCCCCCTCTCCTCAGCAGGCTGTTCCCCAGGCGGTCCGAGCAGACCGGACGTTGTTTTGCCAGTCCGCGATAAGGTATATATTCCGTGCGATCGCCGGCTCACAAACACATACTAAACAGCCATGGCGTCAGCGAGGCGCGGGTCCAGCGGGCGACGAAATGGGCGCCAGCGGCCCCGCGCGGTTGGCAGGCAATAACGCGCCCAAAATGCCGTGTTACGACGACCGACAGGGAGACATTTTGAGTTTGTATAGCGGCGCAGCATGAAGCACGCCGAACCCGGACGCCGCGGGAAGTTTTGGAGGCGAGGCAGCATCGCGTCGCAAATCCCAGGCGCCTCCAACAACGCCCCGGCAGCTGTTGTGAGGGCGTATCGTCCAGCGCGCTCTTGCCCTTCGTTGTCTGACTTGGGGCGGGCGTTGTAGAATGCAGTGCCACTTCAACTGCAGCAACTGCTTACTGCATCTACGAGTAGCTCAAGACGAACCTGCAACGGCGGAGTTCTCTGGCATTAAACCCAGCCCGCTCCAGCGTTCACCTATACAGCCAATCTCCCATACGTGTTTGCAAAGTTTATACGGGCCGCTCTTGGCCTGGCATTCTGACCACACTGCGACCGAAAGGGATTCCACATTTCTGAGTTACTGCCGACCCGGGGCGTCTCGAATGTCCCTGTTGCACGCGGGTGTGTCGCGTTGGGTGGGTGGTGCGACGCGTGAAGGCGGCACATGCTACTAGAGAGGTCCCTCCGCTCCAGGATCCGTAGCCAGCGGTCGGTGCTTCAGACGGCCGACTCAAAGGCCACAACAAAGTTCCACCACTACAGAGGAGTTTTATAGAGGGTGAGGAAAGCAGTGCGAGGTTGGTGGTTTCCACAGCATACGCGGGGTTGACCCAGCGACAACCGCATTGCCACATGAAGCAAAACAAGCGCGTTACGACGCAAAGCGGAGAAAAAGTGAGGGAACACATTCTCCGCACACCGTGCAAAAAGCACATGCTTTGCGAGACGCGCTCCACAAACATGTGGCCACAGCGCTCGACACCGTGCTGAAACCAAGCTCCTCCCGGCCAAGGGCGCCCACCCCCACCTTCGTGTGGCGTGTGGCGCGCGGTGTGTGTTTCGCCCCGGTTTGTCTATTCATATCGAAAGGCAACACCGTGAAAAACAAAGCAACAATAACAGCCAAAATGGCGCAGATGAAGCCTCGCCGATATTTTCTCGTCGGAGGAGGGGCGGGGTGGGGGGGGGCGCTGTAATGTACCCCAAACATTGTTGCTGGGCGAATGCCGAACGCACATGCCGGCGGGTTCCCCAACAAGGACAGCTCCAAGCACCACAGCACACTGTGCTTTAGACACGGCGCGGGCCACTAGGCATGGGGGCACATATTCTTCTGCTGTGCGTTTCCTTGCGGCCCGGCAAGCCAAATTTGGCTATGGGGGGAATCGGAGCTGCCGGGCATTATTTTGTGGCGTGTTAGGCGCCCGCGGCCACTTGTGGCCCACAGCCTGAAGCGACATGGGCGGCGACGCCGGTATGTTGGAAGAGGGGGCGTCTTTAGTTTGCTGCGTTAATAGTTGGTCTTGCTTTGTTTTGGTTTCTTTCACGCCCCCGTTTTCAGCACAGCGTGCCTCCAAAATCCCAAATGGCATCTTCCGCCGCCCCGCCACTCTTCTGGGGCTGAAATGGAATCGGCGTGAGAGTTCAGATTCAACTTCTCCATTTTTTCACGGAGACGGTTGTGGCGTTAAAGAACACGGGGGGGAGGGGGGGGTGGATAAAGCCTCGCGCGCCGCGGCAAAAGGGCTCCATTTGCAAAAAAAAAATAATAATCAAAACGGCCCCCGCTAGGCGTCATTTTCCAAAACGCTTTGCTTTGCCGCACGGCAGGCGGCCCGTAATTACGGAGAGGGCGGGGGGTCGTTTCTGCGTTTTCTGGCGCTTGTCCCCGAAGGGGTTGTGGCCGAGATTCTGCAAAGCTCCCTCGCGAAGCGCCCCCGCAGCATATTGTAGAAACCAATCGCTCAGTTCCAAAGGGGAAAATCTGTGCTGGCGTGGTGGCCTCCTCTCTCAAACGCTTCGGCTTCAGGCCGCTCCTTTTCGCACTGTCGCCGGGGGCTGCTCACGCGGAAGAAGACCGAAGGCGGTGCGGCGCGTGGCTGCCACCCCGCCCAGTAAGGGAACAATTCCCGCTAAGGCGCCCGCCGGATTTTACTAATGGATCGGGGTGTGGGTGCTTATTGTGCGCTGGTTTGGGCGCCGCTGGCTCTGGTTGCCTCCGGCCCGGCCGGTATGGAAACAGTGGCGGGTCGTGATCGGGAGTGGGTTTCAGGGTGCGCGAAGGCGTCGGGGAGCGCCGTCCCCGCCCCACGTCGCAGCACGGAGCCGGAGCCGGAGCCAGGGCGAGCGAGCGGGGGCGGGCGGGAGCGACGAGGCGGCGTGGCGAGGGTTTCTTTTTTTTTTTGGCGGATCTCTTCTGTCTTTGTCTTCTCCGTGCGGAGTGTGTATGCGGGTTTTGGTTTTCTGGTTTCCCTTGGCGAGCGCGGCAAAGTGCGATTGGAGCCTTGAAGGTGGATTTCTATGGACTATGGGATGGGGGGTGCTGGCGCAGAGAGCGTGGCGAGCGATTTCTTGGTGCTACCTTCGCGAGATGTCGGCTGATGCCGCGTTCACGCTTGAGGACCACTTTGGAGCTTTTGTGGTCATTTTCATGGGTGTCTGGTTGGTGACTCTCTTGTGTAAGCAAGACAGTGCCCACAACAATACCGTTATTTTGCAACGCAATTATTTTAACAAAACAATAAACTACAAAAAGACAGTATTGAGAACAGGAGTGAAGGATGTATTATCAGATACCTGTATCGTGGCGGACTCTCGTGGAACTTGGAATACTTTTATGAGGGCACTGGCAACGATGCAAGACAGCAGGATGCGTGAAATACGCCATCTATTTTGTCTCATATTTTTTTCACCCATTGAGAACCGGCGTGGAGTTTCCTGGCTTTCTCTTGAGATTGTTTCCTGGCTTTCCCAGGCTTCTTCCAAAGTAAGACTGCTTTGAGTGCGTATGTGGGAACTGTTTTTTGCTTGTGCTTTTTTTTCTGGATGGTCAGAAGGAAGATGCGTAGGAAGAGCGGATTGTTTTTTTTTCGAATTATTATGATGTATTTTCTGTCTTGCCCTGAACTTATCGGGAGAAACATTTTCATGCCTTTTTTTTACTCTTGCGTATATCAATCTTGTATTATTGGTGGCTTGTTTTTGGTGATGCTGAGGTTTGTTTCTTATCTGCTAAAAATAAATCAAATAAATTAATAAGGGGGAGATCAGACTGAATGATCCAAAGTAGAACAATTAAAGAAAGGGGTAAGTAAACTAATGGGCTGAAGTAGGACCATATATTTTCTTGAGGTGCATCAAATTCATGGCAGGTATGCTCTGTGTGGTTTCGATTCTGATAACTTTTTGAAGCAACTTGTTCTGCTGAGTAACATTTGTTTTTGGGGCCGTAGTTATTTTTTATCTATATGTATGTGTTTTCCTCTGTTTTTTTCTGTTTTTGTGGGGGCTGGATCTGTGCCAAAATATTGATAATAATAAGAGATTATGGGCGTTTTCCGTTGGCTACTTGTTTAATTTAATACTTTTTAATAACGGTACTACGATCATTATCGTTGAATTTGTTTGGGGTTTGGATCTTCTACAAACGTACACCCTTGAATATGTCGTTTTCCTTTTTTTTTTGTGTTTGTCTTTTTTTTTTGCATGGATGGTAATTAGGTGGAAATTCAAAAGAAAAACTTTGTTTGTTCGTCCAATTTACTTTTTCCCTGCTTTTCTTTGTTGGCAACCTTACGAAGGAACCCTTTGTGAATAAGGATTTTCTGGTTTTTTAAAAATCTTTTGGAGGTGTCCCTTTACAGGTTAAGATGGCACGCAACAAGGTTCACAAACAGCGGTTTAGCTCTAAACGTGCGCGTTTGGGGAAGGCGAAGGGACGTTCCATCACTTCAAACACCGCGGGTGTAAAGACAGTTCAGCCCATGGACTCCAAGGAACGTATTCGGAAAAATGCGGTATCTCAGCGCAAAAGATCTGCCTTGGCTCTTCAAAGGAAGCGAATGGGAGGTTCCGTTGGTGCTCCACGAGTGATCGGGGTGATTCCTGCAAATGAATCTGGAAACACTGATTTGGTTGTTCAGGGCATGTGTCATGCTATGGATGGTGTTAAACCTGATACTTGTTTTCCCTTCTCCGTGGTGTCTAAAGAAAAAAAGATGGGTTTTACATTTATGTGGGAAAACCAATACAATGATCAAGATTGTATTGATATTGCGAAGGTTGCCGATTTTTTGGTCCTAGCACTGGACGCATCTCAGTCAGTTCAACAGACGATAAAAGAAATACAAGACACCCCGGCTGCTGGTGGTGATGAGGATGACTCCATGGTTAGTGGAACAACGTGGTTTGGAGATATTGGGTTATGTATTACCGACTTCACAAGGTCTATGATCACTGCTCTGAATGCACAAGGCGTACCGAGCGTTGCGGTGGTTCTCCAAAATTTGGACACCTTTACTGAAAAACAGCGTCAAAAGGTTTTGCGAGTGCATCAACGTTACTTTACTTCAGTTCTTCCAGATACGACAAAGACTTTTGCTATTATCGAAGGTCATGAGTATGGCGCATTGCTGCGCCATCTACAAGTCACAAAACTGCGTTCTTTGTTGTGGCGTGAGCAACATCCCTACTTGGTGGTTGAGCAAGGTAGATACTTTAGTAATAATCAAAAATTACTAATTGGAGGCTATTTAAGAGGGATGCCGCTTTCTTCTAAACAACTAATTCATCTTACTAATCACGGAACATATCAAATTGAGAGTATCACTTTCAATGATCCTGCTTCTGGGGATCCCCAATATGGAGATTTTTCTGATTTGGAACAGCGAGAGTCATTGGAGCATGTCCAAGCTAATGCCACGTTTGAGGATACTGAAGGACCCACGGAGGAGGATTTGGCCTATCATCACTCATTGGGTGCAAAACAGATTAAGGTTCCTGAAGGTGTGTCAGACTATCAAGCGGCGTGGTATGATCTTGAAGAAAATGAAGTATTAGAAGAAACCCCAATGCCACTAGCCTCAATGGGGGAAGAAGACGCATTTGTTGGTGCGGAATTTTTGTCACATCGAACATCAAAAACCGATGTGGATTTTCTTAAAGTGGAAGATATTATTCGCTTGGAACGCATGACTGATGAAGAGCGTGCGGCAGAAATTCAAAGAATTCGTCAAGAAAGCGAAGAGGATGCGTGGAACCCTGACATGGTTGATACACCTTTGAACTTGCCCGCTAGACAGAGATTTGCAAAGTACCGTGGCTTAAAAAGTTTTTCAACGGGCAAATGGGACCCTACAGAAAATCTTCCACCACATTATGCTTACATATACAAGTTACAAGGCATTACACGCATTCGTAAAGCCGCGTTAACGAAATGTGCTGAAGGGCCTGTGGAAATTGGTCATTTTGTTTACGTTACTCTTGTAGGAGTTTCACAAAAGGTCTGGGAAAACGCCATGGCTAGTGGGTATATTATTGCCTCGGGTCAGTTGGAACACGAGCAAAAGTGGTCTGTACTACATTTCAAGGTTCAAAAAAATGCGGAATGGGAAGAACCAATCAAGTCAAAGACACCCATGTTGGCACACATTGGATTCCGGAAGTTTTATGTGTCTCCTTTGTTTAGCGATATTACGGCATCTGATCGCACCAAATTCGCTCGTTTTTTCCACCCATCTGAAAATTTTCGTCTGGCCTCATTCTTTGGACCAGTTTCGTATCAACCATGTCCAATTCTTTTGTTTGAGGTACCTTCGTTGGAGGAACAGGAATCCGGAGATTCGCTGCGGTTAGCATGCTTCGGAGGGGTGTTACCTCCAGATCCGGATCTTTTGATCTTAAAACGCGCTGTATTGACGGGTCGTGTGGCGACGATCCACAAAAAGCAAATTGTAGTTAAATACATGTTCTTTAATGAAGAAGATGTGCGATGGTTTCAGCCTGTGGACTTACATACTCGTATGGGACGACGAGGGAAGATAATCAAGGCTGTGGGAACGCATGGATTATTTAAGGCTGCTCTTAACGATCAAGTTATGCAACACGATCTTGTCTGCATGGATCTTTACAAACGCATTTTTCCCAAATGGACAACTTTACCCTTTAATATCTCCGATATAACAAATTCTTCAAATGAAGAAGTGTAACACCAAGTAATGCAAATATACACTCTAAAAAAAACAAAAAACATTTATCAATAATCACATGATACATAACAATACATATATTATCTACACATTATAAGTAAACAAAATTTGTGGTTGAGATTTGAAAATCTGATTTTTCTTGCGCGTGGCTTATATTATTATTATTGTTATTTTTTTCTCTCTTCTTTTTTTCTTTCTTATATATATATATATATATATTGCATATAGTACTATTATTCAATACGAGATTGATCGACCGTTAATGATGCGAAGGTTTGTCAAGTCTTTTGGGCAGATACAATGCTTTCGTAACGTCTCTTATATAGGAGGTCTTTTTAACTTTAAAATTCTTCCGGAAGAGATGTTTCCTTACCCGTGTAGAAAGTTGGAGGGTGAGGAGGCAGAAAATCTTCAATCCGTGCTGGAAAGTATTCGAACGAATAACAATGCACTTGGGAATCTTTATGGTGCAAGGATCGCCACAGAGTATGGTGGATTGGGACTCGGTCACACGGCACATGCTCTTGTCTATGAGGAATTAGGTAATAGTTGTATTGACGACTTACTGACCACCATTCGGCACAGTGGTGTGTGTACTCATCTCTTGGCATCAACTGGTGCTAAAGATTTAAAGGGAAAGTACTTAACAGCAATGTCTGATGGAACTATAAAAATGAGATGGGCTATTGAAGAAGATGGATTTGGAAGTGACCTCAGCATGAATACTACACAAGCTGTAATGTGTGATGATGGGAGCTATGCTTTGACAGGTCAGAAGCGGTGTGACGCTGCAGCATCTGCCACACACTTTTTGTTGTTAGCCAAAACACTGACTCAGAAGTCTTCAGAAAATGGTGCGACTGTTGCAACTCGGAGCTCTCTTTTTATCTGTGAAAAAGGTGCTCCAGGCCTAAAAATTGAAGGGGATAACATTATTTTGGAAAAAACCCCTGCCTCTGACATTGTTGGTGTTATGGGTGAGGGATTTAAAGATGTAATGATTGCATTGTTTACAGAAGAATATCTTTATGCAGTATCTTTGTTGGGTACAATGAAACGCCTTGTGGAAGAATTGCAAAGTGCAAATACAGGGACAGGAGTTGCAGAACTTCTTCCTTCTTTTGCTTGCGCAGTTTACGCCATGGAATCAACTCTGTATGCCCTGACAGCTAACATGGATGTACCCAGAGAAGATAGTTTGCTGGAGTGCACCCTTGTTAGCGCCTTTGTGCAGGCCACCACAGCTCAGTGTTTACACAGGCTGGAATTATTGAAATCACCCAACACGACGATAGACAACTACTTTTGTCAAACCAATAAACTTCTCAGCTTAATGGAATCGCGAGATTTTCTTTATGCCACAGCTGTTTGTTGCGGTGTTGAGGACTACGGTCTTTTTTTCCAGAGGGCTTCAACCTTGCAGATGATGCAAGCAAGAGCACTTCGTTTCATGGGTGTACGTGATCGTGTACCTATAAAAAATATTTCAGAGGCGTCGCAAATTGACGAGGCAGTGGTAAAGTTTGGTGAAGCTGTAGAGGCAACGTTTGTAAAAAATGGTTCACAAGTTCCCTATCAGCAGCTTCTTCTTAACAGGCTTGGGGAGGCTGCTTCACTACTGTACGCGGCGTCAGCCGTCGCGTCGAGAGCCTCTATGTGTCTTACAAAGGGTCTTCCTTCAGCAAGGCTTGAGGGAAAACTGGCGACAGCTTTCATCAAATTTTCAGTTGAGCGAGCCACTTCCCTCAGTGAAGACTGCTGCAACATTGGTAAGACTGCTGACACTGTTTATAAGCGAATTGCCCTTGAGGTTTGCGAGGACGCACTGCGGTAGTTCAAGGAAGTGGAGAAGGGTAATACCAAACGAAAAAAAGACAATTTGAGTATCGCAAATTTATCACATGACACACTTCAAAATTGAATGCAGAAATTGAAGCAACAACGCAAAGAGAGACAAGTTAAAGAGAGGTCTAATTAACAAGAACAAGAAGAAAACAATAACCCATCACTGTGCTTGAAGATAAAATGGGGGTTTCTATCCCTTCCTGTTGTAGTTTCTAACAGCAGACACTTTTCTTACTTCTTTTCTTTCCTTATTTTTGTTTTGTTTTGTTTTTTTCTAAAAAAACAACAACACATGTAGCCGAAAAAATATTAGTTTGCTTGGCTATTATTATCATTACAGAGGTGTGGCGAATAGGTACGCAATGCTTCGGCTGAATGTAGGATTTCTTATGCGGCATATAGGACAAGATGTGCCAAAACGGCATACCCACTTTGTTTTGGAGTCTAGGCTAATGTACGAAAAGTCCTTTCGCGACAATTGGCTGTACAGTGTTTGTCGCGCCGTTTCGCAACTTGATGAGCCGTTGTCCAAGACAATATTAGGCACACGGCAGAAGATGTTACAACGCAAGGTTGCATGCTTTCAATATAATCAGTATGGGCTATTTAAGGTGCCGTATTATCGCTTAGCCAACGTCGATCGCTATCACGCGGTCCAAGGTGTTCCAGGAACACGGGAGTGGGTTCCATACGCCAACGTTTCGTACTGGACGATGAACAAGATGGTGCGTAGTGGCAACTTATTGGTGCATCGGGTGCATTACACTGGTTGGGGAACAGATACGCATCTCAAGCGGGGTGGATGGGAGCATCGCTGGAATAAAGTAATGCAACGCAATACACTTCAGTACTCTCGAATCTAGTGCACTCGAGTGAGATTATATATAATTAAAATAAAACTCTAGTTAGTGTGATTCTCTTGACTCGAAATTGTTTACATGTTGTCGTCTTTTCATTTACTGAGGGATGGGTCTGTGCTCATTTTTTATTTTTTATTACTAACGGTTGCTGAGCATGCTCAAGGCAGGTGTGAAAGTTATGAGCCGGACAGTTCGAATCGGGGACACGGCTTTCGTACGCCGTGTGATTACTCAGGAGGACGTTAAGGCGTTTGGTCCGCTGGTTGGGGACAATAACCCCATCCATGTCGACGAAAGTGCGGCAAAGGCTGCCGGATTTCCTTCTACTATCGTGTACGGGATGCTGGCCGGATCTCTCTTTTCGGGACTGATAGGCTCTGAGTTACCCGGGCCACAGTCTATTTATTTGAGCCAGACACTACGATTTGTGGCACCGGTGTTTGTTGGAGACGAGGTGGAGGCGCGGGTGACGTTGACTCAATTCAAGAAGAGCAAGTTCCTGCTCGCCTTTCGTACAACAGTAAACCGCATTGATCCAGAGACGGGGAAGGAGACGCCTTGTGTGGTGGGCACAGCAGTGGGGATGAACAAGACTGTGATATTTGAAGGGGAGAGTGAGTGAACGAGCGGAGGGAGGAGGGAAACGTATTGTGCCTTTTCTAGATTCATTGTAATGTTGAAGCCTCGGAGATAGTGATTGCGTGGTTTGAGCGGACCGGGGAAACTGAAAAGCAAGCATAAATCAGGGGGCGAGAGTTTATGGCCGTATGCAGCAACTTCTTCTTGGCTCTTGGCTTTTATGTTGAAGCTTTGGATGTGTTCCGAATGATCTGTGTGTGAATTGTGAGGAAGGAAGCAATGCCCAAAGGGATAGAGCGAGAATGAGGGCGAATGGAAGGGAGGGGTATAGAAGAAGAATACGCCGTTGACCTAACAATGACGGGAGAGGCTGACGTTAATAGTGTTGCTTTACTGAAGTTGGTCGACGCGGAGCAGAAAGTGTGTGCAGTCGGTGACGCGGAGG